GGGCTGGGGCTGCGGGGGGGCCCCGCCGCGGCTTTGCAAAGCCTCGGGGGAAGCCGGCAGTGGGACAGCCCAGGCACGCCTGGGCTGCCCGAGCCCCTCCACGGCTTTGCTCCGCGTCTTCCTGGTCTGCAGACCAGGGAGGCGCGGAGCAGCTTTTCTCGCCCAGGAGTACATGGGCGGCGGGACCGCGAGGTCCCGCAGTCCGTGTCCTCCGGGGCGAGAAAAGCCGCGTTCGTAACTGCGGATCCGACATAAGTTGGATCCGCGTAAGTCGGGGACTGTCTGTAGTGCATTTCTCAAGGATTTAATCCTCATTGGCTGCATTCCTGGTACAAGACCACGTGGAGGAGATTTTCAGGGCCGAAATATGGTCATCAGTCCACACATTCAGCTCTCGTTATGCCATCAGTCAGCAGGTCAGGAGCAATGCAGCATTTGGCAGAGCAGTGCTTTCGAGAATCAACGATTTACCCCTTCTCCTGCAATCTGCTTGGGAGTCACCTATTTAGAATTGACACAAATAAGCACTTGAAGAAGAAAAGACAGTTACCTACCTTCCATAACTGTTCTTTGAGATTTGTTGCTCATATCTGTTCCACGACCACCTTGCTGCCTCTCTATCAGACCCAAGCACAAGAAGGAACTGAAGTGGTGGTGGGTCAGCAGGGTCCTATATCCAGTGCCATGAAGGTGTGACTCCCAAGGGACTTCTGAAATCTCGAACAACCGTTACGAAAGCAAGGTTACTGTCTTTCACTGAAATGTGCATTAATATTTTAGTCATTATCTTGTAAGATAAGTTTTCCTCACTTACAGCTATAAGTACATTGTATGATGTACTAGATATTGGATTTAGTGCCATAATACAAGAGTAACATAAAAGAGCTAGAGAATATCAGAAATTGAAAGATGATTGTCCTGTATTCTCAGAAAGAATAATAAATTACTTTATCTATATTACACTTTTTTTCATGTCTGATTGCTTAAGCTTACTGTTGGTATAAATACTTACTTGGGATACACTATGTACTGTTATGTGTAAATGTGTAGTGTGCACACATAGTGAAGCTTGAGTTCAAAATTTTAAAAAATGTGGTTGTATTTTCACTCCTAAAGAGTCAAATACACGTTGTACCTCTCTTGTCTGTCACCGTTGGGATATTACTGGCCTTGAACCAGCGAATCAGCTGGATCAGTGGTGGAATGGGGTTAGTGCTAGCCCCTCTGCTGCCACCGGCAGCAGAACTCCACTCTGTCGGCTGTAGAGGGGCTGGTGTTGAGCAAGTGGGCAGTGAGGTGGGGGTACTTAGGAGAAGAGGCAGGGTGCAGAGTCCCAGGGGCACACCGAGCCTCATGGCAGCCACCCTGTACTTTCCTCAAGTGTCTCCTGTTCCCTCCCTTCCTGGGTTTGAGTGCTGCAAAGGAGCTATTTGGCAGGGGGTGGAAGGAATTGCTGAGCACAGGGATGGCTTTTCCCTGTAAGTGCTCTAGCCGTGGAGCACCCATAGATATACTGAACCACAGACATTGCCTGACTATGGAAATCTGGACCATAGAGATTTATACTGTGTGTTTAGACAAAGCATTGTATACTAATATTTTTATTTAAAATTAGATCTCCAAAAAGGAGACGATCGAGGTCTGGCTCTCGGTCTCGAAGGTCACGTCATCGTCGCTCTCGTTCCCGATCCCGGGATAGGCGCCGACACTCTCCTAGATCTCGGTCACAGGAAAGGCGTGAACGAGAAAAAGAGCGAGAACGCCGGTCAAAAGGCCTTCCTCAAATCAAATCAGAAACTGTAAGCGGTGAGTACTCTCTCTTGTTCATTTTACTTTGAGAGGAAAAGCAGCTTACTGTAGCATCATTTCTTAGGTACTCAAGAAGGTGAGGACATTTCTTTTAGCAGTGTGAACTCTGGGAGGCTGAAGAAATTACTACAATTCCAGACAAATGTTACTTAAGTTGATATTTCATACATGGAACTTGGTTTGAGAGACTTGTAGACCAATTATAAATGAGTGAAAAATCACTTCTGAGCATTTTAAGTAGACCCAAATATTTTGAAATACAGTTATGCCTGCCCCACTCAATCTCATTGCATGTTGTCTGGTTGATATGACAGACTGATGGGGGAGAGAGGAGATGGGGGACTTCTGCTTTAACTATTGCTGTCTTAGTTTGAATGAATAACTTACAGAAACATGCCTGAGAAGATCAGATGTTTTGCTAAGAGAGATACTCTAGGAACTATTTTAGGGAAGTCCTACAGCCTGTTATGTAGGAGATTGGACTAGATGATCGCAATGGTCCCTGCCTGGCCTTGAAATCTTTGAATGATATGAAGCATGAGACAATGCATTTTTAATAAGTGCTGGTACCATAGAGTCCTCTGTGCTGGAAAGTCACCCTATTTGAGATTATGTTGTCTGCATTGGTGCTGCTGATAGCTTAGTACTAAGGTGGTCCTAGATTTGACAGAGTTGCTATTCCCTTTTGACCATGGATGTGCGCCACCATCTGTTGATGGAGTTAGGCCTGGGATGTCAGGAGACCTTGAGTTTCCTCTGATTTCTTCCATCAAATATAGGAGGAACTTCAAGGAGTGAGGAAAAAAATAAAACTGGATCTCAAGATGGGGGAGTTGAGAATGCTGTCAGATTGCAGGTGCATTTTCAGTTTTGCCAAATGTTTTTGTTTCTCATAGTGTTGCCATTTACTCAGATGAAGACTGGGCCTCTTAAAGATCAAGGGAACACGCTTATGCCAGGATTGTTGCCTCGTCCCATACTAGGGCCATGTAGTAAACCAGACAAAGGGATGGATCTCCTGCATGTCAGACTTGGTGCTAAGGATTGCCTAGGTTAGGCTTGGTGCCATATTAGGATTTGAGGCCTGTCTGGATGCCCTTGGGAAGAAATGATCCCAAACCATAATGGGATTCTTCTCTCCTCCTATTCCAAAGCTGTTGGCATGAATTCATACCATGTCCTTTTCAAGTCTGCACCTAGTCTTGTTTGTTGTCTACTCAGTTTCTCACAGTTATGACAGCCTCAAAAAGTTGAGCAAGCTGGTTCCTCTTCGCTGGTGTTCAGCACTATAGCTCTGTCTGAATCTGAATTGGCTTGAAGGACGATACTGAACCTTGCGTTGTGTTTATAGAGGCTTCTTCTGCAACTTGCTAGGGATATGGAGTAGTTCCTGTAGTCAGTAGATGAAATAAGAGAGCTTGAATTTAATGTTGGTCGAGAATAGGGATGTTAGAGTTTAAACGATTAACTGTTTAACTGATAAGCTTTAAAGCTTATCAGCTAATGGTATCGGTTAGATTCAGCTGGCTCCTGGGGAGGTGGCTTCGTTGCAGCAGGCAGCCTCCCTGGGAACCCCGGGCAAGGACTGTCAGCTCCACTTTTGGGGAGGAGGTTGCGCTGCCACAGTGAAGCCTTCGCCCCAGGCCGAAAGAGCTATCATCCATTCTAGTTGATTTGTCTCTGTCCCTATCTGCTGGAATGGAGGCCTTTTATCTTATGTCTGCCAGATACTGCGTTGCTAGCAAGATCTTTCCTGTATGTTATTGTCACTGTCCTAGCATCTGCCACCCTGGTCTGCAATTGAAGTCTGAAGCATTGAGAGTTAATATTTGTCCTATTGGGTTTTGTTCACCATAATTTGTTGAGAAATGCACAGGTCTGAACTGACAGCAGTAAAAAAAATTTTTTGCCCTTTCTATCATGAATTTTAAAACTCATGTCTCTTAAATTCCAATTCAATTAAGAATGTATTTATAATTTTGATATCTATGCAGATATTCTAACAATGGTTGTGACATAGTTTTAAGAGGCACAAACAGAACCCTGAATTCAGCTCCTGGCAAGTAAGAAAAAAGGAAAGAACTTTCAAATATGTTTGTATTAAAAGATACTTATTGTATCTTATTCAAGTATTAACCAAAAAAAAGTAGTTCCTCTTCAATTGCCATTTTAACACAACCTTTTGTATTGCAGAAGAAAACTGTAAAAGTGTTTATAGTAAAGTCAGACTTTATTTTTCTTCTAGTTTGTAGTACTACACTCTGGGTTGGACAACTAGATAAAAGAACAACTCAGCAGGATGTTGGAAGTCTTTTAGAGGAGTTTGGCCCTATTGAATCTATAAATGTGAGTATAAATATTGAAATAGAACCAAAGATCATGATATGCTTTAGTTATAAAAAGGCCTTTTATTTATAACGAGCTAATTTTTTTTTAAAAAAAACTTTTTGTTCCAGTTTTCATTCCCAAGATCAGCACTTGCCTTTTCTCTGTACCACCATCTTTTTTGAACTCTTGCCACCCTTAGATTTGTGGAAGTACAAAGCAGTTGCTACAAGAGACTTGCTTTTAAAAGCACCATTGCTCTTGGGGTTAACCCAGAAGGATACCCAATATCACCAGCACTGTGCTTTGTCAAAGGAGTAGAAGATGGTGTCTTCTACTCTCCTGTTTTAAGTTTGGTTGTGCAGAAACCCTTTGATTGCAGAAATTTGGTTATGTAATATTTTGCTACTACACTTTTCTTCCTACTTCCTTTTACCTCACAGCAGTGTCTTTTGATATAGCATATGTTCGTACTAGCAGTGAAACTTTAAAAACAAAAAAACCCAAAAGTCCATAATTTGACTATAGTTTCTCTTTGCTGCTTCTAATTTCCCAAAACTAATTAGAGGAAGCTATAGAAAAATATATATTTTTAAAAATCAATATTTCTTACTGATTAAAAACCATTGAAGAGTAAACTGAAAGCAGAGATGAAGGTGACAATTTGCAGTTTTTAGAAAAATCAAAACAAAATGCTAACGTATTATTGGAACACTTCTCCTGCAACCATTAAAGATGCTATGATCTTGGGAGGTAGCTTATGTATTGTCAGCCACATTCAGGATGGAGTACTTTTCATCAGCATGTTCCGTCACATGGAATATTATTGTGGCATAAGCACTTGCTCCCTTGTTTACCAGACTACACTATTTTTAAATGGGAATTTTAGATGGCTAAATATTAATATCTGTTTTGATATTAGTTTAAAATGATAGACGAATACATATTAGAGCTGTTTATACCCTCAACTCCTTCAAACTACTCCCTGACATGCAATACAGTTGTTCCAGTCTACTGTTTAATTGTACATTGGTTACCTTTTGTTTTATCAAATGTAGCAGCCTAAATAATGTTGTTCCTCGCATTCTGTAACAGATGATCCCGCCTAGAGGATGTGCCTATATTGTAATGGTTCACAGACAAGATGCTTACCGTGCCCTACAAAAACTGAGCCGAGGCAACTTCAAAGTCAATCAGAAATCCATAAAGGTAGTCCTTCTGAAAAAAAAATTGATTCCAGTGGTTTTAAAACTTGCAGTAATCTTTAAAAGTAATATATTATAATGTGCATCTGACGAAGTGGGTCTTTGCCTATGAAAGCTTATGCTCCAATACATCTGTTAGTCTATAAGGTGCAACAGGACTCCTTGTCGATATTATAAATAGTATGGTGTTTGGTAACTTACACGAGCACCTTACTTAGTTTGATTATTGATGAGCATTTGGTATATGGAAGCTCCTGGAAATTTCGATCCTTTCTCCTCTTCCAGGTCCCTGAAATGGGTTGGTTCTCATCATTGTGGGGGAAACCCTCAAAGAAAATACAGTACTAAATAAAGTGAAGCTGATTCAGTAGTGGCATTCTTTTTTCTGAATCATTATTAAATCAATTACCCAGTATACTTTTTTGGGAGTTCTGTGGTATTTAAGGTGCTGTCGTCTTGAATGAAACCAAATTGCTGACTATGTGGTATGATTTCAAATAAAATCTTATATCATCTTTTACAAAATATATATAGAAGAATTATCCCTGATAAGTTGGCTAAATTGCAGTATTTATAATTTGTCTAAATTTATCCTGCAGCTCTGGTTGGACACAGTATTCTTCTGTTACATCCTGATCTATTTTGTGTTGTGAAGCTGAATGCTGTTAAATTTTTAAGTGCATGTTTTTGTGAGTACTGAACAAAAAAATTGAAATATGGCTGGGCTCTGACTGGATCCTTTTTCTTTTAAGATTGCATGGGCTTTAAATAAAGGAATTAAACCAGACTATAAGCAGTATTGGGATGTAGAATTAGGTGTTACCTACGTACCGTGGGACAAAGTGAAGCCTGAAGACCTTGAAAGCTTTTGTGAAGGAGGAATGTTGGACAATGAAACTCTTAGCCCAGGTAAAATATGCAGTTAAAAAAAAAAATTTTCAAATTAATTATTTTGGGTTGATTTAAGTAAAGCTGTGAATGACTTGTTTTCACAGAATTCTCTTATGTTTTCGAATGTGTTAATACTGATTCTGTAGAAATGTTGTATCTGTAGAAATGTTGTACTTGTCTTGACTTAAACTATAACCATAGACTTTTGTATATGTACACGTGTACTGAAAATGCAAGTTTATATTTATTAGAAAATACTGATCAATATTGTGGCTAGCTACTTAATGTGAATTACCAAGTTATGACTCAACACAAGTGCTAATGAGAATTTCTAGTGCTAACTGTTGTGGTTTGCATAAAACAAACATGTGACCAAGACTTATTTTAAAGTTGGAAGTTACCTGTTTTTGTGAACTGGTGATATGGAGCATTAGACTATTGTTGATTTTAATAGTTTAACCATTGATGTGTATGAGACAGTTCAGTGGGTGATCTGTGCTATTTCAACATTCTTCATTGTTGTGTCCAATTTTTAGTTAACTCTGGGTGATTTTTATCCAAAATAAATACTTTAATGAACAAAAAAAAGCGAAGAATACTTTAAAATGAGTGCTAATATATGAACACTTATTCATCATAGATAATCTTCACATTGGGTTTACTCAAGTTTTTCTGTTTCCAGTAATTAAGTGATTTCAGGCATTTTGTATCTGTTCATCCGCTATTTCAATCTCATCTTAGTGCAGCATTTGTCAGTGGCAGACAAGTGTTGATTTTTTTTATAAACAAGAATATCATTCTAAATCTCTTTTCTTTTTTCTTCTCTTTTGAGTTTGCTGTACATGGACTGTTTCTCTGTGCAGTTTTTCCTCATCCCTCTTGTGTCTCTTCCTCTCCCCCCTTGTTTCTATGAAAGTCTTGATTGGCAGTAGAGGCATCTTCTTTCACTCCCCCTTTCCCACCATATGTCCTTATTCCATTATAAAATGAGTTTCGGGCTCTAGTTGATGCTTATCTAAAGTGCTGCTTAACTGGTGTTTTCTCTTTTTTGTGTTTTTGCACAGGAGTATGTTGTACCACACTGTAATAGTACAATATTAGTGCATCTAACATACTTATTATCAGAAGAAAAAAGCTGTTTTTGTCTAACCCTGGAATGACTGACTCAGCCTCTGACTACAGATACAGATCAATCTTACTGTTTCCAGTAGTTAATGTGCTTCAAAATCTTTTTGCAGAAATGCAACAGCAGTTCTGAATGCAAAGATCTGAATCACATCAGCTGTTAAATGACCATTGGAAGCAATGTTCCCTCTTTAATTTTTTCGATCCATGTTCAGAATAAATTTTATGAGCAACTATGCAAGTGCAAATATGCACCACTAATAGAAACACATGCTGCTGGCTGTGGGCACTCTGCTAATCAGTTGTCCGGCACCTGAATTTCTCCCAAGCATCTGCCCAAATGCTCAGCTTGCAGGGAACACTGTTTGGAAGAAATATTTTAAAAGTTTTACTTGCCATGTTTAGCAGCTGCTTGTACAGTCTGTGCTTACAGTGGTTTTCAGGTTGTATTTTCAGAAACACATTTAAATATAGTTTGTTTATAGAGATTGCTAGCTGATTGTTTTCTCATTGGTTTTACTTAGCAGCAATTGATAGACTATATATTCATACTCTTTCAACTGACCTGGCTTCCATTTATTTCCTGTAGAGTGGAAAGGAATTCCTAAGAAATCTGAAAATGAAGTAGCCCAAAACGGAGGTGCAGAAACTACACATACTGAACCAGTGTCGCCTATACCTAAACCATTACCTGTTCCAATGCCTGTTCCCATGCCAGCACCTATAACAGTACCTCCTCCACAGGTGAGATTGTTTACTTTTTTCTCTCTGTTTGCTGCTGGATAACTGCAAATTGAACTACAATTTAAATGTTTTTATGTGTCAGTTCATTAATTAATTAGAGATGGGAAAACTGAAGTCAGAGTATTTCAGCATTTAGCCCCCCCCCCCCCCCCTTTTTTTTTTTTAATTCTGGTGTGGCTATCTGCTGACTGGTAACTCTAGCAGTACATGGCACACGTACTCTTTTCCCCTCACATTCAGCTTCTGCCTGATAGCAACTGTTTTAACCTTTTCACAAAAAAAAGCAAGTCCCGCTTCCCAGCTGAGCATACCTTAGCGCAAAAAACAACTGGTCTGATCTTACCTGCTGA